CCTTAATTTCTGCATAGGACAAAATAAAATGTATGTTGTGGAAGATAAATTAGGTGTGTTTGTTTGTTTTGGGGTTTTTGGTTTTTCCTGTTTTGTTTTTCTCAAAAATAGAAAGTGAAGCACCTGCCTAGTAGCGTCAAGTTGAAATTGAGGTTGTACACTGGATGCAGTGCTGATGAACACTGCAATTGACAATGAAACAAGCGCTGTTGAAATCAAAACGATCCCATTGTCACATCTCACATCAGTCTGATAGCGAGTCTCTTCCAATACCACACTTATTCGCAGTGCCTACTCCCTCTTCGGTCTGAATATGAGATACCGGTGTTATAAAATGAGAAACGACACGAAAACAAGTCACAACCTAAGAGCAGCTTGCAGCTGCTGCGGTGGAAATTGGACTTGGACTCTAAGCTGTGAAATTAAAAGCTGCCAGTCTTTTTCTTCTTTTTTTTTTTTTGTTTATTTATTTTTACACAGAATACAGATGTGCTCAAGTCATCACGGCGCCACTTATTTTTCAGTTGTAAAAATATTGGATGAGAAATCCATTCTGCCCGAGGCGAAAACAGGCCCGTGGACCGGAGCAAACCCAGCCTAGTTGAAGTGCTTCTGGCAAGGCCAAAATAATTGTTTCATCTTTTCTTGTACCAAGGCGTCGAGGAGCAAACTTAGCCAAGTGTGGTATTGCTCTACCTTATGTTGTATTGGTTGTCAGTTGTCGGTGTTTTTATTCCCATTTTTTTAGCAATCCATGTCAGCAGAATATAATAATGTTCTGGCACCGTGATTTTGAAAATGGGAAGAAATGATCCTTATAGTGAGTGCTTTGTTGTCTTATCTCGTTATTGAGTCATCACTCATTTATCACACAAAGCTGTAAGGGATATTAAGGTTGGTTTTTTTTTCTTCTTCTCTTTGTTGCCTTGAGGGAAAATATTGGGTTTTACTTTAATCAAATGAAAAATAGGATGCTTTTATCTGGTTCTCTGCCACCTCTCTTGTGAGTCTTTAATTTTGCTTTTCTAAAGTGCCTTTGGAGCGCTATAGACACCTCTGACTGCGTCCCACAGCAACCTTCACAAAAAGTAAATTAATGTGTACTTCATTTAAATCTATTTTTTCGTTCTCTGTAAAAACCTTTAATTGGATATTTTCTGTTTCTATTATCATTGTCAATATTATCATTATTATTATCATTATTATTATCATCATCATTATTTGGCTGTGTTGTGTTTAAAGTTTTTCTTGGGGCCAAATACAGTGTTTGAGGTGCTCCAGAGAATTGATAGTAATCAAAGTCAGACCTGATTTTTATTTATTTATTCCAAAAATCAGAGCACTAGCCGACAAGGTCATCATACACATGCATTAAACATGATATCTGTGCTGCGAATTCGTCTGTATTTGCCATTGAAATCTACTCTTAGAGAAAGGCTTTTTTCTATTCTTGCTCAGCCTCTGTTTTCGTGAAGTCACTGAAAGGAAAGAGAGAAAGAGCTGTGCCTATAAATAGTGTAATGTGTGTAAGGGGAATTCCTCGAAGATAAACTGATTGGTTCATACGTGTCATTTCAGACACAAGTGTCAGAAACTTGACAGCTTGCAGAGTTTAGCAGCCTCGTGTCTCACATGGGATGAAGAGTAGCACACTTACAGTTGCCCCAGTAACCACAGATGTTGGGAGGCAAGACTGTTTAAGAGTTTCGGAAATAATTATCTCACGTTTAGTGAGGCATTTAGTGCTCGTTTGTAAGAAAAATCCTTTAGTCTTATTAAATGCAAACATATAAAAGGGCTGCGTTATGTGATTGCTGTGGTAGCCCTCAGATGTCAAACACACAGAAAACACCAGTAAACAACAGAAATGGAATAAAACACAAAGAAAATGTTAAAGATACACAAAAGATGAATAAAACACAGGAAGTTGGATAAAACAGAAAGTCCATAAAACAAAAACACTACAGTAGTTTTGGGGAGACAATAGCGTCACTGAACAGCTGTGAAAGTGGCATAAACCAAAACATGCAAAGTATTGCACTGAGACGTGTTTAAAAAAGCAGAGAGAGAGAGAGAGTAAGCGCAGGTCATATGTTTCTATTCATATAATACTACATATTATATACTACAGTCGATTTTTGTTATTAGCTGTTACCTTGTCACTTCTGCAGCTGTTACGTCACATTATCGTCTCCCAAAAACACTTTGCTTGTCTTTTGTGAGATTTTTCAGCATTTTTTTCTATTTGTTGGCATAGTGCGTTTGACCTTTCAGGGCCACCGTAGATGTCAGTGTAAACACTTTGATTTACTGCAAACTACTTAGAGCATGGTCAGAATGTTTCATTTGTGGTCTTTTTGATTGCTTTGTTAAAAAACATGTTTTGTTAAAACATGGCTGTTTTGGTTGACACTGACTTTCTTCTTAGGAACAGTTTTGTTTGTTTGTGTTTATTATATTTCAAATAATTACACGTCATTCAGTGTTTACATGTTCTTTTACAACTTGGGGTTGATGTTGAAATGTGACAGTGAGCACCACCAAGGCAAGCGATTTAAAAGACAAACAAATGGCAAAAGCAAGGGAGTGAAAGAGTGTTTTTTTCCTTTTTAACAGAAAACATTACATGGAAAAGGAGCTCTGTCTTCTCCGTGATAAGCTGTTGTGAAGTTTTTCCTTGTCTGGGTCAAAGGTCATGAAGGAGACGCTGTGGCACTCTATATGGATTGTAAAGCATAAACTCTCCGTGATTTTAGCCTTTTAAAAATATCTTTACAAGACTGGGGTGGAGGTGAAGAAGGAGGCTGAAGGAGAAGAGAATGCAAAACAAAGCAGTGACCCATCCTATTATCTTTGGGCCTCTTTGTCTACATTAGTCAGATTAATTTCTCAAAGCCGTGCCACTGTTACAGTAATTTATTTATTGCATGTCAGAGTTGAGAAGCAGGCCACAGCTTTAGTGTCTGGGAATTTTTTTAGCTGCTGCTGGTTCGACTGCAGTGTTTCCAGAGGGTACATCCATCCCACTTTTCTCTCTCTCTCTCTCTCTCTCTCTCTCTCCCCCCCGGTCAGTTCTCAGGAAGGGCTTTAATGCTGTGTGTGTGTAAATGTGAGAGGAGAAAGTGTTGCGAGCTCTTATATACACACATTTCGTGTTATGCACACGCAGCGCAAAGTGTAAAGCCAGTTTTTCTGTTTAGCCAGTTGCTATATGAACATAGGCTTTGGCTGAATGCATCTAGGAATACTAACTTATTTCTTGCATTAAATGGTGTCATTTTTAGAGGTGCATTTTGCTGGACTACAATAGTAAAAATGACTGTTAAATGTAAGAGAAAGTTTGCAAGCAGGCCATCATGTTGGTTTTTGCCCAAAATCTAGGAGCAGGGTTTGCATTTGCATGGTTGCACGAGGCCGTAGAAGAGAGATAGGCCCTGTCGATTATCTGTTACGACACCGCCCTAGTGGCCTGTCCATCAAGCGTCCAGTGCTGCGAAGCATTGCGATCTCTTGCGTGCAAGAACCCCCTCTTGGGACATCTCCCATAAGAGGGTACAGCTGTGTGAAAATGCTACGAGAGTGCCAGAGTGTCCTACCAAGTCAAATTGCAGTCATTGCTTTTAGAGAAAAACCGATATGATGGTTTATCCATGCATGAGGCCGACGTGTAAAATCACCAGCACATTTATTGAGTGTCTGGAAAGCATGATGGTATCCACTAAGGCGTACTGTATACAGTGCACATAACTGGGCATAAAATGCCCTTCTCTGTCAGGTTGTACCTGAGCACGGCCAATTGCCCAGGCACGCCTCCGAAAGCACACATGCCATAAACAGACAGACACACATGTGTGCGGGCATAAACAAATATAGACTCCCTTCTGTTACAGCACCAGCTGAACTGAATCCCTACTCAGACGCACACACGCACACATACATACAGACACCCAGAGGCATCCAGGTCTTTGTGCCACTTCCCTAGCTACCTGCGAGACAGCCTGTGTATCCTGCTGGTATGAAAGGTAAGCCTCAGAGAGACGGAGCAGAGAATAAATGTGTAAAATGGGTCAGAGCCTGAATATCATTACTGCCCTGCTCCCCATGTGTATTCTTACTGTGCCTGTGTGTGTGTGTGTGTATATCTGTATGTGTGAGAGAGACAAGCTGTGATGAATTTGTGAGTGAAAAGGCAAAAAGAGCATGTGCCTAGTGCTGTATGTGCGTGCGTGTGTCACTTTAGCTGCATTCCCACTCAGGGAGTTAAACTCAACTCTCCAGAGTATAAAGACTGCCATGGGAAGGATCTCAACTTGTCTGTTTTGGAAGGTTTTGTGTTTGAGCACATTGAGAGGCAGTGTCAGTAGTGTGTGAAGCCATGCCATGGCCCAATTTTTCTTGTCCAGCTCAGGAATTCAAAACACAAAGCCAGAGAGACACAGGAAGTTATCTGTATGCAGGCAAGATGGTGGCATTCTCCATATCCATATCCTCTGTCGAGGTAAAACTATAAATATTGTACGAGGCTAGCATCAGCAGCAGATCCAGACAGTGTTTACGGGGGTGGAGGGGGTGGGGACTCATCCCCCACATATGGATGAGTCGCTGATAAAGAGGAGATATTGGTATTACAGAGTCAGGCGTGTCAGACGGCCTGCAGCGACCGGAGCGCACCGCCGAGCCAAATCTCCATTCAGGCGTCTTCGCTTGATAGCCACTCATTGCCAACGCTGCACACATGCGGCATTGTCATGAAATTGTGCTCAGTTGGGGATTTTGAAGGTTGGAGGGGTGGGCAATTTGTGCCTGCAGATCAGTAGTTGCATCTCAGCACGGGATAGAAAGGTGGGTTTTTTGTGTTTCTGTGCATGTTGCTGACACAAACAAGAACAGTAACAGTAAAGCCTCTGTTATCCACGGCTTTGAAAATGGTGTGTGTTCACCAGGATTTGAGAGCCTTGTGATGTATACTTTTTTCTTCTTTTCCCATTTTCTTTCCACAGTCCGTCCCAAAACCCATCGCCCTCGAGCCTTGCTTTGGCAACAAAGCCGCCGTGCTCTCCATCTTTGTACGGTTACCCAGGGGCACCGGCGGAATCCCTCCTCCAGGACAGTCTGGTAAGACGCAGCCTTTAAAATCCTTCACTTGTTTTTCTTTCCTGACTTGTTTGTTTGATTGAGCCTCACTTTTTTACATCATCTTTCCTTGATCTGACTTCCTCCCCCCTCTGTTATGTACTGTAGCTTTGGTCTTAGTCGGTCCATGACAATTTTGAGCCTTTCAGTCTTTTTTCAACGTGGTTCACTTCCTCTTTCTTTTGTTATCCAACACTGACTTTATGATCCAGCCTCCAGTGTATACGCACACACACACTAGCTCCAGTTTTAAGAAGATGAAACTGGTGATCTTGATTCTTAATCTATAGATTAGTTACATTTTTATTTAATATTTGTACAGGATAAACCTGCAAAATGCTTCCAAGTTAATGCATTTAATATACATGGATAAAAAATAATTGAGAGCTCACGCATCTATTTTTTCCCCCAGGCCTATATATGTAAATTAAAAAAGGGAAAAAAGCACTATAAGCATTTAGAAACAGAGCACAGTGAGAAGATGACATAAAAATTAGGAATTTAGAGATTTCTTGGTTCCTTTTTTTTAAAATATAGGAAGAAGAGAATATTTAAATCAAGCGCGCAAACTGATTTGTGACGTGCTATTTGCACTAATATTTAACGCTGGAAAAAAGCATGTATTGTGCCCTGTATTAGCTCACTTGCGGCAGCAAAACCTTCCAGCCACTCTTTAGTTTTTAGCAGAGAAAGGAGAGAACGGAGGGATCACGATGTGGATTTTGGACCCCATCCTGAAAATAATCAGGCCTTGGATGGACGTCAGTCTGGGCAATACCTTTACGTTGACAAACTTAAAAAAACAAACAAACATTAAACCTTAAATTGAATTACACTGAAATTGAACCGTTGTGATTTCAGGACCATGGAGAGCACTCAAGGTTTCACAGTGATCTCATGAGCTCTACTTGACCACATGACTGATTTTAGTGGTGGACCTACTCAAATTCAGCTGCGTGCACTTTGGACCAGCCGCCAGCCTCTCACGGGGCATTCGCACTCTCATTCACACCTATGTGCAATTTAGAATCACCAATTAACCCGACCTCACTAACTGCCTGTTTTTGGACATCAGCTGACTGTGCCTGTGTTTGGAAAACAGCACAACAGTTGTAAATTACTCGCAGAACCAACCACACCTCTGAGTGCTACTTGGGGATTGCGTGATTTTTAGTCTCAGCAAAATCATGCACATCCATCTCGACAGTGGTCTAACATGTTTACAGTAATTACTTCATGTAGCACCATCGTTTTGATGTGGATGTATTCATTTTTAAAAACGCTGCAGCTTGAAAGCAGCAGTGCTATTCCTGGTTTTCCTCAGTTACTGCTCTTCACTCCCTCCTTTTTTTTCCCTCTTCCTGTGGCGAAATGAAGACTGCTTGTTGCCTACCTTCATCTACTTGGTGTGTTAGGAAGCATACTGCAGCTATATCCATGCAGACTCATTCTGTGCTTGATTCCTCTCTATCCTCTTCTCATCCCCGTTGCTTTAAAGTGCAATCTAGTGTTTTTCCTGTTTCCCTCTGCTCCCTTCTTTCCCTTCCTCCTCCTTTTTTTTGCCCAACTTCTGACTGCACTGAGAATTGAGTCCATTACTTTCTTTCATCCTCTGCTCTGTCACTTGCTGTCTTTACATTCCCACCCATGCTTCATCTGTTTTCCTTATCTTTCTTTTCAAGATCCTCTGATAAGACCCAAGTGCTGCTTCCCTTACCTTTTCTTAGTTTTTGTTTCCTGCTCTCTTTCTTTTACTGTCTCAATAATTCAACTCGCCTTTCTTTCAGTATTTTTTTCCTCCTCTGTGTTGTATAGCTCTTTGCCTCCCACAGTTGCAGTCCCCAGACCATCAGCATGCCTAAGGCCCTTATTAATTACCACATTGTCCTTTTGTCATAACAAAACTGTCGCGGCTCTCGATGGAGCTTTCCCTCGGGCAGCTTTTGTTGAGACCATGTTAGCCGTGTTCCTCCCATCTCCTCGTGCCCCCCCCAGGGCACGAGGAGATGGGAGGAACGTTCTAATGCTTTTAACTTGTTCCCCATCCGGCCGTGTTGCTTTCAGATCTTTAAACTGCTTTCAGTTTTTCAGCATCCCAGCCTCATAGCACTCTTTAGCTCATTTCATAGCAACCAAAAGGGTATCACCATCACAGATTATCACTGACTTCTATCTTCGGCTCGTTTAGGTGATTTGAGCCATCCTGAACCCTTTTTTTTTTCTTTTTCAATCAATAAGAAACTAGTATCTGTATGATTTCTCAGCATGCGATCCCTAGCGCAGCCGCTTTCTCTTTTTATGCCTTCACTGTTTACTTGATTGCAGTAAATGCATCTAATATTGGTGATGAATGGAGTTTACTGGTATTTCATGGCTCAGAGAATGTTATTAAATGTTGATGAAGTGTGGTGTAAGTTAATGATTGCCAGCTCTGCACGTTTGTGTACGTGGTTGTGAGTTGGAACTTGTGTGTTTTACTTTCCACACATCAGCAGCTTTCCCCACATTACAGTTACTGCATTAAGAGTTAGCCTCATATTGCAAGTGTAGCCTAATTAATGCTGGGTTTTTGAGACTGTTACCAGTGCATACATTTCAGTGTCTTAATTTTTTTTCTTAATTATAAACGATCTCCTCGCCATTTTAACATGGCGTAGCATTTAACTTCTCTCCATCTAATTTAACTTATATGCATCGATTTCCTTATTTATGGGTCAGTTTCTACTTTAAACTTGATCATTTATCCTCATTCCCAGCTCCACATTTGTATTCTTGGAGGTTAAAAGTGCTAACATCACAGTTTATCCTCTGTCTTAAAGGTCACATTGTGTTTTTTAGTTTTTTTTAAGTTGTCTTCTGATTGGCTGCCTCTCGCAAAAAAAACAACAACAAAAAACTCTGTGCTTGAGGTGATCATATTCAGGGGTGCACATAAGTGGTGCGCAGGTGCACATGCGCTGTTATTTTGACAGCGCATGCGCACCTGCGCACCACTTATGTGCACCTGATCATATTAGATCATCCCTTGTGTTTTGTGGAGCAGTGTGATTATTTGCACGTTTGAAACTTTGGACATGTTTTATATGTTATACAAAGTTCACAGGTTGATATGACAGAAAATAAGGAAAAGCGTAATAAAAGTAATTCATGTTTGTAGTTTTATATCTTTTACTTTAACTAAACGAGTCCTCCTGTGTGTGCGCAGGTTTGGCCGTGGCCAGCGCGCTGGTCGATGTATCTCAGCAGATGTGTGTGGGGTACAAGGAGAAGTCTGGCGGACTGAGGAACCGTAAACAGCAGCCCACAGCACAGCCATCCACCTGCATCTGACTGCATCCCCTGTCCTCTTCTACCATCCCAACACCAAAAGCTCTCCCATCAGCCTCCCCCACCCTCCCCTCGCCTCAGCCCCATCCTTCAGAGACTCCCACCAGCTCCGTTCTGGCAGGGAGAGGTGCATGCTGGGACGCAGGACTTGAACGTTTTGGTGAAGGGGGCCGAGACATCTGGCAGACTGCAGCCTCAGAGGTCTCCCCCTTCCTGTCTTCCTACAGGAACTTTGATGCTTGGAGTCCCCTCGAACCGATCGACAGAAACTAGACACAGAGAGGGGGGAGGGAGGGAGGAAGGAAGGAAGGGACAGAGCAGGTGCTGACCCCTCCCCTCCCCCTCAATGAAACATTTTACATTTGTCGACACCACCTCGTTAGTCGAGGCGGCCACGGCTTGCTGCTAGAAGAGATCCTTGTCTCGTAGTTTTTGACAAAACAAAAAACAAAACAAAAAAAATCCAGAGACTTTGCGACCATCTATGTTCGCATTTTATTTAAGTTATTGTTGTTCTTTCTTTTGTATTGTGTTATTTCAGAGGCAGGAACAAAACTGGAAACGCACACACAAAAACGCATAACACACACTTCAGCAAGCCCTTGTACCCATTTGTAGCCCATTGTCACCTGCTGTCATGTTCACAGCTCAGCACTGAGGGCCGTTGTCACTGGAGTCCTGCACAGTTTGGCCTCCGAGCAAGCTAACAGCATGTTCAGTCTTCCTTTAATGAGGATCCACTGTAGGAGGTTGCCTGTGTAGCCAGAGCCCATTTAAAGAGTGTGTGACATTTCAATCGGCCTATGTGTCTTCTCCCGCTGCCCACTCTTGCAGCCTGTCTGGAGCTTCGTCTCTCTGTCTTTGGCCATTTGGCTGCCGAACCGTCCGCCGCACAATGCAAGACCGCTGCAATGCCTCACCCGTGCTGGCCGGCTGGCTGCTGGATCGCCAGTGCAATTGAAACTTTTCCAGCTAATTACTCTTCCAGTTCTAATGAAAGCCAATGGCAGTATGCAAGGCTCACACACACACACAGAGCTAGTAGTAGTGGTGGGGTGGGGGGAGACCTCTGGCAATTAAAAATTGTCCTCAAAACCATTGTGACACAGGCTTCCTATAGATCACGTGACTCTGATTGACTGAAGTGATTTGGCTGATGTTAGTGACCGCTGCCAGGGCAACTGTTGAGCTCTGAGACTGTTGCCTAAGAAATCCATACCTTCTAATTACTGCTCTCATTTCCCAAAATGCAATGCATCCCTCCTACCCCCCGGGATACCAGCATCTCCGCCGCTCTTATCGTGCCATTCGATTGCGATTGTTCCACATCTGTGATCTATCTACAACCGCCCAATTAGCCCATACAGCAGCGACGTCTGTGCCCTTATCGACGCGGCTACAGCGGAGCTGCTAAACCCCAGCGTTTAAATGGTAAAGTGCAGTGTTTTTTATTTTTGCTAGCAGCCAGAATGCATGAGTCAGTGCCTGTTTCTTTAAGAGCATCGTTTTTTAAAAATGGACTTTTGAATTGGCCTCCGTGTCACAGAAGACCCTGGTTATTTATTCTGAAAGAAAAAAAAATTGTCTCTCGAAATTATGTTGTCGTCTGGTCCCTCGGCTGCTTTTCCCTGCACTTGTCTACAGTCTACATCTAAAATATCGGTCCTGCTTTTAAAGCAGCATTACTTCAAGTGGGAAAATGAGGGAAAATGCAGAATAAAAAACCCCAAGGCAAACACAGAAAAACTGAGATTGGTAGATTAAAACAGAGCTGTCACAACTAAAGCGTCAAATTTGGGTTTGTGCCATTTTTTGCTTTAGTTTTTCTTTCTTTGTTCAATTTTGCTTCTAGCTATATATGTATCTTATTGTTCAGATTTACAGGATATAAGTTGTACACTGCAGCACTTTTAGGCCTTTGACACATTTATTGGTGTATCAACCTATAGGAAATACGGTGCGTCTCCTGCAGTCTCGTAAGGTTGTAAACTTCCCGCTCTCTGGGAAGTGCAGCAATAGAACAATTTAATAGTTTGCATTCTACCCTAAAGAGCTCTTTGTGTTTAGTTCCTGGCTCTCACATGTGCTCAGCATACTAGAACTTCACACCGCCTGGTTAAAGGGCACACTTTTAGCACTGGGAAAAGGTCAGAACAGAAAGCATGAACAAAGCTGACATTCTGTAATTATAGAGTGCCGCGTGCACTCGTGACTCCGCTTGGCGAGCGTCACGGCGCGGAGAAGCCGGCTCCGTTCGTGCTCGTGCTTTGAGGAATCAAAGTGCTTCACCTGCAGTCTTTACCAATTTTCCTCTGCTAGAATAAAAGGTTTGTTTTTTTTACCCAACATGGGTAGTTCGATGTTTTGTTGGGTTGTTTTTACAGAATAAAATAATATAAATTATTATTATTTATATTAAGCTGAGGCTCTGGATGTTGTAGGGCGTTTTGGTAATAACCAACTATTAATACATGAATGTGATGATCACAAAGAGTCCTTCTGAGTTCCACAGAGTATTTTTATTTAGTACTTTTTCAGTCCCTTTGAAAACACCTACCACCCTGTCTCAGAATGAAGGAGTTCTTTCACCTCCAACCATTTGAAGGTGGAGTTCAGTTCAAGAAACTCTGATAAAATGTGCTATGTTGGCCATTGGAAGAAGAAAATTACGCTTTGTGTGAGATTTGGCTTAAAAGTGAGACTTTACAATAACCTGTGAGGCAAAAGTGTGGCAGAGACACGACAGACACGCGGCTCGCAAACTCCCATTAACCGCCATCAAAGGTGGCGATGTGCTGCCAACACTAAAATGCCTGAACGGCACATGAACTACATCTGTCTTTCCTCTGCAGCGTCAGCAGCTCTGAGATCTGCCAGCACCTTTGCATTTTTGATTTCTCTGCAGGTTAACTTTTTCACTCCGCAGCAGGCCTGTTTCTGTTTAACATAAAACACTAGCTGTTCACGATGCTCAATCGCTTTACCGTACTCTCCAGTGACAAAACCTGCAACGGCAGTCGTTTTTCATCATTGCAAATATGATTTCGTTGCATTGACTCTCTCCATACGAGTGTGGTGTACAACTGCTTCGACTGTACTGCAGTAATAATTTCATGAAGATTGTTTGTTTTGTTTTGTTTTCTATAAATGAATGTAAAATCTGTGCAGCCAAGGTAAATCTGTAAACTGTAACTCACCGGGGACGGTTTGTCGCCACTTTCTTTCTTTGGCCGTGGGTGACAGGGCGGTGCAGTGGTTAATGCAGACGGCAGAGGAACTGTGGGATGATGGGTTCAGACCATTAAAGAGCGAGTTGTCACTTTGAAGTTTTTTTTTCCTTCCTTTTTTAAGAAAGACACTGAGCTTGTAAAGAAGATGTGAGCTCTGCGTGCCCAGTCAGCCCACTGTGATCTTCTTCTGCTTGACGGTTCAAACGACACGGATCCTGTGTCGGATACTGATGTCTTTGAGATCATGTTGAATGTTTGTGTTTTTGTGTTTAACCTCTGTGCTACGATTGGCTTAAGAAACTCAAACGAGACTAAAGTTTTTCCAGATTTTTGACATGTATATGAAACCTGTTTATCTGTAAACATGTTTGTTGTCAGCAGCCTCACACCGGACTCCTACACAAGTCCCAAGCATTCAGCAATTAGATAAATTTAGAAGTAATATTGCAGTTTCAACATTTATCCAGGGCAGTTCATCCCTGGTCCACCCACGCGGCTGTTTTCATTAATTTTGTTTTGCCGATCAGGCATCTTCTCAGGACTGTGTTGGCGTGTACAGACTCCAAGTTGTGCGTTTGCACTTGTTAGGACAGGACTGACTTACAGCTTAATCGTAGGGCTGGACAGTGTGACCTGATATCTAAAGCATGTCATTACTTTTATCACTTTAATAATAAATGTAACGACATGTTTCATGTATCATTAGAGCATGATGCCTCATTCTTGGTCTTGGCTAATTGTAGTTTGTCGGGTTCATAATTCTGGGCTTGTGGCCCAGACTGTATTCTGTAATTGGATAAATTTGGCCTGTGCGCGCATTCAAAGCATATTTAGCTCTACAGAACTTGAAGAGAAGTCCATTCAGCCAACTAATGCTTTAAAAGCCCTACTTAGTGTGCTTCAGCCATGCCGAGCAGCAAACGCATTTGCACTCAGCAGGGTGAAGCTACGCCCAGCTGCAGCTACTGTTGTCCAGTTAGGTCGCCCCATGATAACCTCATCTCCCCCCAATGATGACTGATGGACAAAAAGGTCTTGCTGTTTTCATCTCAGCTACATTGTGGCTACGTCCACACGTATACGGGTATTTTTGAAAACGGAGATTCTCCGTTTTTGTTTAAAAAAAAAATAATCCTGTCCACACATAAATGCAAAATTGAAGGAAAACGCTGCTAGGAACATGCCAAAGCAACAGGTGGCGATATATTCCTAACCGTGTAGAAATGTTGGCCAATCAGAAGTCTAGAAGCCTGGGTGGGAAAGAGTAAACAAAGATGGCGCATAGAAGCAGAACTGAGTCCTATGTGTGTAGGGACAGCAACTGTGTGTGTATATGTAAGCATTTAAACACTGCAGAGAGTAAAATTAACAGTAACAGTATTTTGTCTAAGTCCACCAT